GTGGTCATACAAAGTTTGCACCTGATTGGGCCTTCGGACTAATAAAGCAAACTTATCGGAGAACTATGGTTTCTTGTTTAGATGAAATTTCAGAAGTAGTCAAGACGAGCACTTCTACTGGAGTAAATAAAGCTCAACTTGTTGGTCATGAAAATGGTGACATCTTGGTACAACAAAGGGACTGGCAATCCTTTTTGCATCCTTACTTCCGTAGTCTACCCGGGATAAAGAAATATCAACATTTCAGGTGTGTATAAAAATGATTTTTCAGCCAGGTTTCCCTTTGACAATGGTGCGGGATGGAGGGTCTAGCAAAGAGAGATAGAGAGAAATGGGGTTTAACATCAACTCGACACAAACTAGGTCATTTTGGAACTAACAATTTTATTTCAATTTTATTTCAATAATTCGCTTGCGCGTAGGGTCTTTAGCAGTGGGAGGAATCCGGAGGACCCGGAGAAAACCCACGAGGTTGGACAGGCGACCCTACTCCTTGTCACGTACAACTGGGGAATCGAAACCCCGCCAGTTGACTCAATGACAGACCGTGTGATACAGCGCACGCGTGCTAACCATTCGGCCATCCAACCCCCCAGGGTCTAGCAAGCAACAGCGTCTGGTTGTTTGTATGGACGAAAAAGAGATCTGTATGCATGTTAAAGAACCCTTGACCTGATGGCATTTGCAATAAGAGGAGGCTGTAGCACTGCTGTCCGCACACATTTTCCCTCATAGCACATTGCATACCCGTTTTCATTAGCCCCATTGATGCAGAAAAGTAGGATCGTAAACCTATTTCATTTCATTTGTGTATAAAACAATGCACTTTTAATTTGAGCACAGTTAATATTATAAGTAACATACTACAGTATTTTTATTTACTCATCAATGTTCTTTCAGATTTGACAGTGAACACCCAGGATGGGTATTTAAGAAGGAATTTACTTCCTCTTTGGAAGTTGGAGTATGTTTGCAGAAAGCAACATTACTGCCGCCTGCAGACAGACCAGAGTCACTTGCCCCTCCAGGGTTGCCCTTAGAAAGGCAGCAATACCTTTACAGAAACATAAGAAAATTCTGCACTTGTGAAACACAAGACATCACCTGTCCAGTGCCAAGTGCAAACGAATCAAAATCAGACGAAGATGAAGAAATTATTGTGCCCCCTAGCAAGATAAGAAAATTTGAGGAGTAATTAACGGGTGATATGTGTTATTCTGATTTGAACTTTTGTATATTTCATTATCAATTTGAAACATAAAACTGTACTGATCGGAAATAATTTGACTATGATTAACAGTTTCCTGTTGGGACACTGTTGGTTTGCATGACAACAACAACGATTTTGATTGTTAACTGATTGGGAGTTTTGTACATTATTTCATTATCAATTCGAACTGTAAATTTGTAATAATCTGAACTAATTTGAGTATGATTAACAGTGTCTTGTAGGGATACTATTGGTTTCCATGGCAAGAACAACTGCGTTTTTTTTTATTTGAACTTTTGTACATTTCATTATCAACTTGATTGACTTGAATTGGAAAATTGTAGTTATCCAAAATAATTTGACTATGATTAACAGTGTCTCGTTGGGACACTATTGGTTTCCATGGCAATAATTTTGATTGTTAAAGTAGCTAAGTCTCTAACTCATTATTATCCAAATTCTTCGACATTGAAAATACAAATTATTTCTCAATTTAAATCAACATTGATGCTGTGATCTTACCAGGAAAAGGTGAGCTTCTGATATCCAATATTTAAGAAAAAATATATATTTTACCATTGGTACACGAATCGTGTACCGTAATGTGTTTCAGCATCATTTGTAAGAAGGCACTCGATGAACGAGGCTAAACATATTCCACAAGTCATGTAAAATGGTGACGCTATATTCCTATCTAGAGAGCAGCATGCGCAATGAATACTATCGGTGTAGACTGGAATAACCAGACGCTAGAGACTGCCAATCGATTGAGATTTCTGATGTATTTCGCCGAACATAATTGATTTTAAAAACAGAAACGATTGAAAATAAATCAGTTTATATACATTCATATTACATTATTATATGCGTTGCGGCCAAGTTGTGCCAATTTCTAGGTCCCAAATATTAGCGATTTAGCTCCTTTAACTGGTGACTTGTGTTTTTCTGATTGGAACTTGAATTTGAAAACTGCAGTAATCCAAAATAATTTTACTATGGATAACAGTGTCTTGTTGGGACACTATTTGTTTCCGTGGCAACAACAATAATTTTGATAGTTAACTGGTGATTAGAACTTTTGCACATTTCATTATCAACTTGTAATAATCTGAAATAATTTGGCTATGTTTAACAATGTTTGTTCAGACACTAGTTGGTTTCCATGGCAACAACATTAATTTTGATTGTTAACCAATGACTGTTTTCTGATTGGAAGTTTTGTACAATTGATTATCAATTTGAACTGTAAAACTGTATTAATCTAAAATGATTTGACTATGTTTAAAAGTGTCCTGTCGGGACACTATTGGTTTCCATGGCAACAACACTGACTTTGATATTTAACTGATTGGAAGATTTGTACATTTCATTATCAATTTGAACTGTAAATATGTAATAATCTGAAGTAATTTGAGTATCATTAACAGTGTCTTGTAAGGATACTATTGGTTTCCATGGCAACAACAATAGTTTTTATTGTTAACTGGTAACTGTATTATTTTGATTTGAACTTTTTACAATGAGTTTGGATTGTAATTTGTATTAATTAATGATTTGACTATGTTAAAAAGTGTCCTGTTGGGACACTATTGGTTTCCATGGCAACAACAATGATTTCGATATTTAACTGATTGGAAGATTTGTACATTTCATTATCAATTTAAACTGTAAATATGTAATAATCTGAAGTAATTTGAGTATCATTAACAGTGTCTTGTAAGGATACTATTGGTTTCCATGGCAACAACAATAGTTTTGATTGTTAACTGGTAACTGTATTATTTTGATTTGAACTTTTTACAACGAGTTTGGATTGTAATTTGTATTAATTAGCTGTGATTAACAGTATCTTGTTTGGACACTTATGGTTTCCATGGCAACCACAATAATTGAAACTTTTGTGCATGTCATTATTAACTTGAATTGTAAAATTTATCTTGTATATCAGTATCTGTGTAAATATTTCATAATCAGTTGTTAATTTTAGATTGATTTGAAATCAATATCATGTTTCAGCATATTCAGTATCAGTTGTCAAGGCAACCATCATTTTCATGTTTGAATAATAAAATTATGCTGAAACCTGTCATAAATATGTTTTATCATATTTTGGTGGCCTACTAATAAATGAAAAAAAACCATTTGACATTATATATATGTGTGTTTACTGAAAACTTTACCACATTAAATTGATTTTCACTTTGGAGGCGTTTTATGCAAAACTTAAGAAAAATATTACTATTTCATAAGTGTGTGACCGTTAATGATAGAATGATAATTTTTTCACCATTTTGAAGCTAATTTCACCAGCTTACCACTATGATCAATAACTCATTTTGTGTTTTTGGGTCACTGTGACTCATTTTGCTGGACTGGGTCACATATTATTTCGACTACTTCCGGTTTAAGGATTCTTGTTGAAATTGCTTTATAAGTTGGTATTGGACTATAACTTCATGTTCCAGAAGTTTCATAAACGTCAATTCTGCCATAAAACGAAACCCGAGCTCACAAAATGGGAAGAAAATTCGAAAAAAATCGAAAAATAAAGGGCGATAACTCTGAATAAAACTTATATTACTGGAATCGGATGGACTTCAGGTATCCAAAAATGTAAGTCAAATTTGAAAATTTTGAAAAATAACAAAAATTGTCTCGTAAACAACATGTTTTCAATTTTCGAACGATAAAAGTCATAGACGAATGTTCGAAATTGAAAAATGTGAGATAGCCATTGTCTCAGAAAAGATTTAGGGATTCCAAAAATGTAATTTGCTTGAAAATGGATAAAGAATTGACGAAACTATGGCCAATTTTCAAAGTTCGGTCACTTCCGGTATGCGCAGAAATTTAAAAAATATTTTATCAAGTAGCCACCACATGGTTTCCGGATAGAAAATCTAATTCCAGATCGATATCTGTTTTCGATCATGGAGATCTAGGCTCCCGCGGTAAATAATAATAATAATAATAATAATAACTAGACCTGCAAGCAGCACTGAACCGGCTTTCAGGAATCAGACAGGAAGTGTGTCATACAATAGCCCATTTATCTAGCTACCAAACGATACTTTAGATGTTTTGATCCGGTCACACCTGACGATGAAATCCCAATTGTTGCAAGAGCACCGATATTTTTACTGTCTTTTTTTTTTGAATTATCGAATATTTTTTGACTACTTCCTGTTTACGGATCATTATCGGGATAGATTTAATAAGTGGTATGGGAACTTAACTTCATGTAGCAGAAGTTTCAGAAAGATCCATTGGACAGTTTTACTTCCCTTATACCATTAGAAGCAGATTTACAGATATAACGATTTTTCGACTTTTTTCAAAGATTGTGGCCCTTTTGGACCATTTATACTATATTGAGGCTTTTAAATTTGGATTCACACCCTAGACGACCGTTAGGACTCTAAGTAACATAAGTTTAAGAAAGGAAATAAGAGAAGTTTTCGAAATAAAAGCGTCTGAATAGCCCCCAAAAATGAAAATACTAGATTTTCAGCGTCCCATTATATATTGCCTAACCAGCGAATTTTTACCATTTAGAGGTCATACGATCATCCATTGTTCAGGCTATCCAATGACACTTAAGTTGGTTTGAAATCTTACATAGTAATCACTTTTTTTCGCAAGATCACCATTTTTTTACTTTGGATATATGGTTCTTGTCAGATCTGATGGATATCGTGTATGCAATTAAAGGATTTGACAATAAACTTAAAGAAACATAAGTTATTTTCATTTAATATTGAAGTAACATTATTTTATAAATTTACTTTATAGGGTTAATGAATAGTTAATTCTTAAAAGAATTCTTCTGCTAGGAGCAAACCTGGTTGTCATGTTTTGGTGATTGGCAGATTAGCACTTATGGTAAGAATAACCCATTTATGTTAAGTATGACTATTACAATGTTTAGTACAGAATGTACACAGTATTATATTGGAGGCATTTGAAAAACCAATGAGTTTTAAAGATGTGAAACCCTCTCATGGCGCTAACATCATAATGTAAGCCAATTCGACCAGACTCCATCAATGTGAATTGAAAATTTAATAGGGAGACCACTCTAAAATAACCTTGTTATTAACCTATCGTCTTTATAACGGGAAGGCTTAAATACGGGAATTCCCGGTACTATTTAAGATGCCTTATGGTGAACATGATCTACACCATTATGTAAACTGTCATCCAAATATTCAGATCAAGACCCTGGTACTCCTACCCTCTTGAACTAAAGCAATGGCATCTTTTTGGAGAAATTTCATTTTTAGATTTTTACACTATTAAAGTATATTTGATTAAGAGAGTTGTTTATTACAGATCATGGAAAAATATATATTAGATTTATTCTTTGGCCTTAAACTTTCTTAAGATATAAAGTTTGATCATCAGATTAATACCCAAGGTAAGCAGTACTCTTATAATTTCAATTATATATGACTGTATAAATTATAATATAATGTAATATTAAACATATACTCCTTACCCTGGATATATGGGGTTAGACATTTCAATGCATTCAATATTAAAATGGTAAATATAATGTAAGAGTAAACGGAAGTCTTGAGTTTTACATTAAGATAGGTAACCATGTAGAAATTGTTCTACTACTGATGTTATCTGTTTTACTCCTGGCACAGTAGTGACTTTTCCTACAGTTCCTTTGCGCAAGTTTTGTAGCAAATGACTACAAAAAGTTTACTGGCCGATAGCTCCCTTAATTTACACATAAACTAACCCAAATCTGTACTTCACATAGCTTAACATATAATAAATCTAGTCCCATTGAAATAAAGATGAAGCCTTACCGCATAATTATGATTTGATGAAACCCAACTGCTACGCAAATTTTAACTGGCCAGTGTCATGGCGGCAAGTTGCGTAATACGTCATTGGGCCTACAACATAATTGTTTGGTAACTATTTTAATGGTCCAGTCCTCGCCATTTGTGATAGAATTACTTATTCCAATGCAAACTGTAATGATATGTGTTGACAATTGTAGGTTTGAACCTATTTGAACTTGCGTAATGGTTCTTAGGCTGTCTCAATTGTAACCTTAACACAGTTTAAGGTTGCAAGTATAGTAACTAGGTAGCCATGGTGTCTGAGATACTTGCTCATGAGCCTCAAGGTAGCATATTTGCTCTCTGCTTTGGCCTCACAAGGACACCTGTCTAGTCATGCCTTTGGGACACAAAGCCATGGAGCGTGGACCAATGTATTGTATACGTTGGCGTGCCCAGAAAAGATCTCATGGCAGTTAGTATTCAGTGTAAGAGTAGGCAATAGTGGCACTGCCAGCTAAGATTTCCTGCTCCCTGCTTTGGCCTCACAAGGACACCTGTCTAGTCGTGCCGATGGAACACAAGCCGTGGAGCGTGGACCCATGTATACGTTGGCGTGCCCAGAAAAGTTCCCTTGGCAGCTAAGATTTCCCTCAATGCACACTGTATGGTGTATTGCCGTCTTCATTAGCCCAGTAGGTGTAGAAAACGTAAGCGTACAATTTCGTTTCATTGGAAGCCACAATCGTTCAGCCAGAAAGAACAGAGCAGTGACTATTGCTTTGCATTGGAGTGAAAACCAAGGTCTCATGCACAAGTTGAGAGCATTAAAAAAAGAACAGTTAGAAAAACAAATAAGAGAACAGAAAATTTCCCTCATAGATTTATAGGAAAACCTTGAAAGTGAGAAAGCAAAATAGCAGTTGGCCATATTCCATGCCAAAAACTACTGCATGGTGCATTGCTGTTTCTATAAGCAGCAGTAGGACATTAAAACCTCATTGATATTCCATTTCATATATCATTTGATTTACAAAATTATAATTTTGTATTTTTTAATTTTTTTTAGCATTTATTATTGAATGTTATTGGAGCGCCTGTACTTGTACCAAACTGGATTATTATTTTGCTTTTGGTGGTGATGGGCAAATCAACACTGTGGTAAGTCTCAATGATATGTAAACTAAGTGCAGTAGCGTCCAAACCCTATATAACTAAAGCAATAGCGCCTACTTGGTGTTGTCACTTATTCACTTACATCCTGTCCCTGTGCAATATTAATGGTTCAGCCAGAAAGAACAGAACAGTGACTATAGCTTTGCATTGGAGTGAAAACCAAGGTCTCATGCACAAGTTGAGAGCATTAAAAAAGAACAGTTAGAAAAACAAATAAGACTACAGAAAATTTACCTCATAGATTCATAGCAAAACCTTGAAAGTGAGAAAGCAAAATAGCAGTTGGCCATATTCCATGCCAAAAACTACTGCATGGTGCATGGCTGTTTTTATAAGCAGCAGTAGGACATTAAAACCTCATTGATATTCCATTTCATATATCATTTGATTTACAAAATTATAATTTTGTATTTTTTAATTTTTTTTAGCATTTATTATTGACTGTTATTGGAGCTCCTGTACTTTTTCAAACTGGATTATTATTTTGTTTTTGGTGATGGGCAGATCATTACTATGGTAAGTCTCAATGATATGTAAACTAAGTGCAGTAGCGTCCAAACCCTATAAAACTAAAGCAATAGTGCCTACTTGGTGTTGTCTGTGGAATTGATCTTTGGTGCATTCATATGTAAGTGCATACATGTGTTGATGTTAAATTTAGGATTGTAAATAAAACTGTAACTCTCATACATGTACATGTACTGTCATCACTTATAAAAGGTGAATTTTCATAGCATCTCAGTGAGTTAAAGTTTTTATACTATTTTGTATTTCAGGTTTTCAAGGAAAGATGTCTTATTTCCAATTTTAAAGAATCTTGCTGAAATCTTAATGTTTTTCCTTCAACTTTATTCTGGTTCCATATTGTATCTAAAATAAATTAAGAATGCATAATCTGTGTTTGGAAAAATTAAAGTTGGCTGTCCTTATGATTCCTCTTCTAGTAGCTATCTAACCTACAGGTCCAATGTTCAAGGCTGGTGTTGCCAAGAAAGCTATTTTGGGTTTTCCATAATGGTTCCTCCCTTGTCAGTGGGGCAGAATGGAAAGCCTGACAAGGAACAACATATAGGTGTTCACTGTTCAGACATGGATAAGCCACTAAGGTCCCTTGTAACTCGAACCAAATCCTCAATACTCAGTGGGTAAGATATTGCCTGTCTGAACTTGAGTTCCTGTGTTCAATTCTCTGTAAGCCGAGAAAGTTCATCAGAAATCACTGTAATCTGGGTATCATTTAATCCTGTGTATCTAGCACTAAATTCTTTAACAATCGTTTGATATCAAATGTTTGTTTAAAACATTCGTGAAAGTCATTTTAAATCTCACATATTCATCTAATTTGTACTTGTGTCCAGTTTAAAGCTTATCATTCAATTTTGTTAACGAGTGGCCAATTTTCAAGCTTTTAATTTTCGATCACCGTTCAAAAATTAATCGTTATTCATCAATAATCAATAGATGCTAAATTAGTGCTAAATATACCAGATTAAATGATACCAGTTTAGAGTGTTTATTCCAGCGGGTCCATGCTAGTGGTGTAAAATAAAGACACTGAAGAGACAACATACAGTCATTTGTATAAACCAGACATCCTTAGCCCACATTTCCATGCACGTTAAAGAATACCCCATAGTCATTTGGGTGGGATTGAAAACCAGGGTCCCATAATTGCCGGAGGGGTGGGGTGGGGATGGTCTAGTGGTCTAGACTGCCGCGTTTCGACCTCTAGCTGGCCGGTCACCTCTGGCTTGCGGCTGTGGTTTCGATCCCACGTGTGAGCATATGTGGCATGGAGATCGGGCGCCTTCTCAACCTCGTGTGTTTCCTCTGGGCACTCCGTTTTCCTTCCACTGCTAAAGACCCCTACGCACAAGCGAATTATTGAAATAAAGTTAAAAACATATGTTAGTCCCGAAATGACCTAGTTTGTGTCGAGTGGACGCTAAACCCCATTTCGTTCTCTCCCATAATTGCCATGCATGATAAGATCCCTGTGAAGTTGGAATTTAAAATAACAGTAGACTGTAGAACCACTATCTGGGCAAGGTTTCTATCATAGTACGTTGTACTTTTGTTTTACAGGGTTGTTCCTTTTGATTGGGGCATCATATAATTACTTGATTTGTCATAGTAGGCAACTACAGACTCCTAACATTCAGAATTAGAATTAAATGTATGTCATAGTGAAGCCGTTGGACCAAATTCGCCCCATAAAATTGATCTATGCATACATCATTTGACCCTCGGTCATAATATATTCGGATGCACAGTCATATCATCCTGTGCACGGACAGATAACTCCACAACTGGAACAAAAAATAGAATCCTTACAAATCGTTGTGGCTCGGTGAGTAAGGCGTTGACTGGCTGACCTAGCGGTCCTGTCATTGATCATGGTATTGGCTAAGAAAGTGCATTGTTATAATTAATAGGGTCTAGCACGGAACAGTCATTTACAGGCCCGACGGGGGGGAGGGGTCACCGCCCAACAATAATTTTGCAGCAAGTACTCTTTTTCTCCAGGTTATTGCGGCTCCTGGACCCTCGCCTATAAGGACCTAGGATGGAAGCCTCTCCCAAATCGAGAAGAACTTCTACCGGCCCTGATTTGAATGGGAAATAAAACCAAGGTCCCACGCATACATTGGAGTGGTCCTGTGTTCGATTGCATGTAAACCAAGATATTTCAACAGTATTGTTTTAGCAGATCACCCTCCACAGTGGTGTAGAATGGAGGACTTGACAACATACAAAGAACACCATGGTCCAGGCACAATCCCCTAATCCCAAACAGCAATCACATTACATACAGATCTATATATCGTTTCGAATAACATCGGACGTTTATTAACCAGATAGCGTTGATGTTTCTAGTGGAATACTCACTCGTTGCAACGAATCATTTCATTGGCTTATCCATGGAGCTATCCAACGACACTTTGGTCCGCTAATATCTGACGGAGAAATCAAGTTTTCGCAAAAGCGCCATATTTTTAAACCTTTTTAAACATTTTTTGAATACTTCCGGTGTGGAGATTACTGTCGTGGTAGTTTTAATAACCGGTTTGGGCACTTAAATAACCGTAGGGCCCTGTTATGTAGTAGTTATTAGCACCCTTTCCGAGGTGTATCGGTGAATATCAGGACAGTTTTGGTCGAGGGGCCCAGGCGAGGCGGCTCCCGACCAAAACTGTCCTGATATTCACCGATACACCGAGGAAAGGTGCTAATAAGTTACTTACATCACATTTCTATCGAGTATTGTGAAGCAAAATGTGAAAAATAGTATTTATTATCGAGTCGTTTCAACCGAAAAGTGACAAATACTTTCTGCTCTTTCATTATTTATCCCTTTATGAGCCTCACGTTACATTTCATGGTAGAATGATTTCGCAGTGGAGAGACGACCTGAGTAGTATTTACACGTGCGTCTTGCTATGATACTCTGAGCGTAAAACATTCACGTGTTTGTTTAGACCACATCGTCAAAACAAACTTGTCTATGGCGTAGAGGACTGCGATATTATTAAATGTAGTGTAAAGGAAATGCGAAACGTGGGTCATTCCTGGTGAAAGTATGCATCGGCGGATGGTTCTTTCGTTGAAATTTATTTGTAATAAAGTTTATGACTTTCTAGGCGTTTTTTTTTCATCCTGCTTATTTTCAATGCCTGTGAAGTGTCAAGCAAGAGAACTGCGCCTTCTATCATCACAATTAATTAAAATAATTATTCAAAATTCTAATTTATATATTTTGCATATTAATATAAATCAAACCAAATTATGAAATAGATGCCAATTGATATGTATAATAATTGATTTTTGTAATATGTTGTTGTGTTAATTTAATGTCATTGTATATGTTTTTGAACTGCCATGTAGTTCCCCCCATTTTGTTTTGTTACTATGATTTTGACTAGTCGTTTCGTGGACATTGTACAGAGCCGTCGTTATCAATTGCGATCTGGGTCGGACTAAACGTCCGCTACTTATTGCTTGATAGGTATCTAAAACGGTATAAAAGTATCCGTGTATCAGAAATGAACAGTACTCTTTCTGAACATTTCTGATACACGGATACTTTTCTGCATGTACTGCAATTAAACAGGGCAGTTTTATCAAAGGTTGCCAGTGGCAACGAGTAGAAGTGGGATGTAAGGTTTATTACATTATCTGATCAGACAAAAATGCACCTGAGAAATACTATGTTCAAAGGTGCAAAATATCGAAAATCAAATTTCAATAACTCAATACATATTATACATCATTAAAATCGTAATTACATCAGCTATCTGAATATGTAACTTTTTTTTAATAATCTCTTAAAATAAAAAAATAGAGCATTTTCCAAAATTACACGATTTTGCGACTTTTTTCGGTTTTCAGGTCGTTATTTGACCTATTCCAGATATATCAAAGTCTTAAAGGAATGTTTCGTACACAAGACTACCAAAGGGTATCTCGATAGAGAAAGTTTCAGAAAAATTTCAATAACTCAATACATAATCGTTATCTCATAAAATAAGTAAATAATAGAGCATTTTGTAAAATTTCACGATTTTTTGACTTTTTTCGATATTCAGCCCGTTATTTGACCTATTCAAGATATTTCAAAGTCTTTAAAATGGAATGTATCGTACATGAGACTACCGAGAGGACTCTCGCTAGAGAATGTTTCAGAAAAATCGCTTGAGTAGTTTTCAAGATATGGGCGTCCAAAAACGCTCAAAATCAGACAATACTTGACTTTCACCGAGATATTTTTTTTTCTCATTTCTGCTCAAGTAGGATGATATTTTAACCCTTTGTAAAATACCATCAAAAAATATTCATAAATAAAAAAGGTTTTCGTAAAAAAAAAATTAAAAAGGTTTTCGTAAAAAAATTTTTTTTTTCAAAATATCGGACATTTTTTCGACTACTTCCGGTTTTACGATCATTGTCGTGATAGCTTTATGAAGTTCTTTGGATACTTAACTTTCTGTACCAGAAGTGTCAGAAACATCCAATGAGTAGTTTTGGAAAAAAAGATAAATCAAAGACCGTTTCCAAAAATTTAACGATTTTTCAATTTTTTTCAAAGTTTGAGGCCATTTTTGGACCACCTATATTATTTCAATGCTTTTCATTTTGGATTCACTATAAAGACAACCGATAGGACTTTGAGTAAGAAAAGTTTAAGAAAAATCGTAGGCGTCGTTTTCGAGAAAATGGCGTCTCAGAATGTTAAAAAATCGGAAAATACTAGATTTTTCTTCATACAATAATTTATTTCCTCCTTACCATCAAAATCGTATTATTTAGATACCATATGATGGTCCATTAATAGGGCTATCCAACGACACTTTAGTTCTTTTGGTCCGCTATTACCTAAGGGAGAAATCATTTTTTTCGCAAGTGCGACAATGTTTTTAACCATTTTTTTTTCATTTTTTGAATACTTCCGGTATGGTTATTATTGGCGGAATAGTTTTAATAGCCGGTTTGGGCACTAAAATAGCCACAGGGCTCTGTAATGATATATTACATTATCTGATCAGATAAAATGCCCCTGAGAAATCCTATGTTCAAAAGTGCCAACAATGCAAAAAAATTAAAATATCGAAAATTAAATTTCAATAACTACATACATATTATACATCGTTAGAATCGTAATTAGGTCAGCTATAAGAATATACAACCTTTTTTGGAAAATCTCTTAAAATAAAAAAATAGTAGAGCATTTTCCAAAATTTCATGATTTTTCGACTTTTTTCGATTTTCTGTCCGTTATTTCACCTATTCCAGATATTTCAAAGTCGTAATGGAATGCTTCGTACACAAGACTACCACAAGGTCTCTCGATAGAGAAAGTTTCATAAAAATCGCTGGCGTAGTTTTTGAGATA